AATCCCAGCACTCAGGAGACTGAGGCAGGAGGATTCTGTGAGTTCAAAGCTAGCCTAAACTATATAGCAAGACTCTGTTTCAATTAAGGAAGGAAGGAAGGGAGGGAGGGAGGAAAGAAGGAAAGAAAGAAAGAAAGAAAGAAAGAAAGAAAGAAAATCCTTCGAGAAAATCCTTCCAAGACGACATCTCCAGCTCCCCTCACCACGGGTGCCCGTTTGTCTAACATTACAAAGGCTCTGACTCTAAGTTTCCCCATCTGTGAATCGGGTGACAGTCACTCCCACAAAGTGAAGTTTAAATGAGTACTCAAGAAATGTTGTAAAAAAAAAAAAAAAAAAAAAAGAAATGTTGTAGAAAGGTGCAGGTCTTGGTGTCCACTGTGCAGAATCTGTGAGCTGACCTGGGGAAGGGGAAGCATGGAGAGGTGGAGGGCCATAGCTGGGGGCCATTGCCTCTTGCTGGCCGAGTGGTCTTCACAAGTCCCAGCCACCACCTCTGGAGGGACTTGCTGCCGCCTCCCCCTCCCTTCCCCTCCCCTTCCCCTCCCCCTCCCCCTCCTGTTCTGGGGTTCTGAGGGTGTGAGGGTTACTGTGCTGAAGTCGGGAGCTGGCACAGATGGGAGGAGGTAACTGCCTATCAGGCTCTGTCACAAGGAGCAAGTGATCCCCCTTCCTCGGTTCCTGGGCTCAGGAGTGCACGCACACTTACACTTAACGCTTCCTATTTCTGTCGGCCTCTCCTCCCCTCTAAGTCTCCCCATATGTCCTCCCGGACCACTTGACCCTTCTTTAAGTGACTGTAGGAATCCAATCTCAGGAGACCTCTCCAATCCCGAAAGAGGGGCTGATCCCTGCCATTTAACAGATGAGGAAATTGAGGCCCTAAAAGGGAGAAGAGGCCAGGCTGGGTGTTCAAGTCACCAAGAACCCAAGTCTGTGCTCTCTCAACAGAGCTGCAAATGCCTATGGTGAACTAAGGAAACTAAGGAGCTAAGGAACCTCGCAAACAGGCACAGAAAGATTCCCTTGCATGGCCTCCCAAAGTCCTGTTTTTCCTGTCCCCTCATGAAATCGTAAGTCCTGAAGGGCAGGGGCCATGGCTGGAGCTCTCGTCACCTCCCACAGAGCCTAGACAAGTATACAGAGCAGAGACTTGTTCTGTGTAGATTAAATATGTGTTTTGAAGTGTAACACAGTCATAAAAGGGCGTAACTTTATCGAATAATGCAAAGTGATTCCCAAGGGGTGAAGAAAGTACAAGGTGTGTAATAGTGTGCAAACATTCATATAAAACAGTAAGAAAAAATAGATAGGTATGTCCACCTGTCCATCCATTCATCCGCTTGTCCATCCATCAGTCCATCTGTCCATCCATTGATCCATCAGTCCATCCATCCTTCCACCTATCCACACATCCATCCACACTTGCACAAATCACACTGAGAACAGAGCCTGTTTGACAACACGGATTCCCTCTCTGGTCAAGGGGCAGGGATGGGAAGGCACTTTTAACCCTGTATCTATCATTGCTTTGAACTTTGAAATTTGGCTGACTATTATCTATTCAAGAAATAAACATTTTAAACTTTAAACAGCTCAAAACAGGCTTGCTGTTTTTAGAACTGAGCCATATAGTGGTGTGTGGTGGGGTAATGTTAAGAAATTTCCCAGGGTACACTGGGCCACATGCAATCCTAGATGGCCAAGATGGACAGGGCCCTTGGAGACCCTGCCAGCCTCGTTTTGCCAGTTAGGCACTGACGAGGGCCACTTAGGGACTGACAGAAGGCAGGCCGATGGTGGGTCTGAGTTGTTTCCCCAGCTGACAAGGGCTCCCATTTTGAACTGTGCATGATGTAAAATAGAACCCCTCCCAATGCAGTGGTCTTTGCACAAAACCAGAGTGGTCTCAAAGCCAAGCCAAGCGCTTCTGGAGGAAGGGGGCTACTGTGAGACCTCCAGAGACAACCGGGTCTCTCTCCCACCCAAAATTCTATTATCAAAGTTGGGCGAGGTGGTATACACCTATGTCCCAGCTGCTCAGGAGGCCGAGGCAGGAGGATTACCGGAACCCAGGCGTTCAAAGCCAGACTTTGGCTTTGAGAAACTAAGGAACCCTGCCTGAAAAAGTGAGACCCTGCCTGAAAAAAAAAGCTCCATTATCAGGAGACCAGCACGAAGACACTTGTGATTCTCATTCTGCATGACTCCCTTCCCCCTCCACAGCCCCTGCCCTACTTACTGACAAGAGCGCTGAATAGGCTTGGGTAAACCCCATGCAAATCCTGGGCCATACTGCCTTCCTTCTCTGAGCCTCAGTTTCTCTTTTTTTTTCAAGATAGGAGGCTGAGGTAGGAGGATTACTGGAACCCAGGAATACTTAAGCTCAGGCCATTCTTGAGTTCACTATGTAGCCTGAAACTCATTATGATCCTCCTGCCTCAGCCTTCTCTCTTGAGTGCGGCGATTACAGGTGCATACCATGATGCCTGGTTTCTGAGCCTCAGTTTCTTAATCTGTAGTGCATAAACCGTGACACATACACCCCAAGAGATACTGCTAAGCATAAAGGTTTTCCACATATCCAGGCACAAGGAAGGTGGACAGCAAGCCTGGGTTTCTCTTCCTCTTGTACGGAGAAATAATGAAACAACCCAGGCTTAATCCTGAAACTCTTGGGGTGCACAGAGAGAGCCTTTCTCCCAGGCCAGATTCACAGACACCAATGTAGGAGGTGAGTGTCAGGCACCGCCCTGCGGGGAACTAGTGATTCTAATTCTGGGAGTCACTTTGCAAAGCACCTCTTGGTGCTGACTCATTTAGGGACTCACTAAAAACTCCTTTGAGTTAAAAACAAAACTTGAGTGGGACTCAGGTAACTTTCCCTCTGCCCCTTGTCCTGGCCAATGAGAGGATGGCTGGGAACTTGAGGGTCTCAGTCCCCAACATGTCACCAGGGGCTGCATAAGGACCATCTGCACAAGGCCCAGACAGTGGGAAGGAAGTGAAGGGTGAGGAGTAGAAAGATGAGATGGATGCGGGTGACTTCTCTAAGCCCATCTCTCAAAAGTAACCCCCTAACCCCAGCCATTCAGAGTCACAGTCCTCGGGTAGGGGGAGAGGAGACAGCCTCACTGTCTCCCAACGCTCAGCTCCAGACCTCGGCTCCCCTGCAGCAGACCTGCTTCTGCTGAGGTTGCTTGATCTCTCTGAGTCTCAGGTTCTTCCCTGGAAAAGGAGGACATGCGCGTGAGTACTTGTTAAAGGGCTCGGAGGTGGGGAAGGGCTTTGCAAACAGTAGAGTCCCCTGTGGGCACAGGGGGGTTCAGATTTCTCCCTGGTGACCTGTCTGCCTGCAGAGTTTTGGGGAGCCTCTGGCTGCTCCTCTTCCCTCCTACAGACCTTTGCTCAACATCGTTGCCTTAGGTCTTCCTTCCCCGGTGACCCATATGAAAACATAACCTGGACGCCCCTTGACGGCCTGCCTGGTGTTCTCTGCTGAACTGATCACCTTCCAAATGCTGGATGCTTCCAGTGCCTTCCTCCTACCCTGCCCTTCCCCTAGCTGAGGCCCAAAGAGAGCCAGGGCTAGATCTGTGTGTCCCAGTGCTGCACCAGTGCCTGGAACGTAGCAAATGCTTGTGGCACAAACGTGGCCAAGCTACACTACTCAGCTAGGAACCCTGCCATATAGTATCTCAGAGTTTCTGCTTCTATTTTTTTTTTTTTTTTGCAATATTTATTCACAGTCCTGAGGACTGAACCCACGGAGTGCTAAACTGCATCCCCAGCCCTTCATTTATTCATTTATTTTTGAGTTTTGAGAGAGGCTCTTCCTAAGTTGCCCAGGCTGGCTTTAAACTCGTGATCCTCCTGCCTCAGCCTGCTAAGTAGCTGGGACTACAGGCATGTGTCAACATGCTCGTCTTGTGGTGTTTATTTCTTATATTTAACTTTTCCATCTATGTGATATTGTGATGTGTATTATGCGAGGCTGTGAACAGATCCTCAGGTAAACGACTAAATAGTTTGCAGAATGATCCCTTTCTCCTGTTGGGCCCTAACATTCACATTTTCCTGAGTAAGTGCGGGAGACCAGGCTGCCCCTTGCTACATCAGCAGTGCACACGACTGGGCAAGAGCCTTCCTAAATTTCATTTCTAGGCCTCATTAATGCCGCCTGTGAAATGGGCAGGCAGCAGCATACTGCCTCCTTCCCAGATTGCTGTGGGACTTTCTTCACAAGGAAGGAAGAGTGTACAGCCGCGAGTGTGGTAGACACAGTTTGCGACTGTCGCTGTTATGGATCCCAGCTAGGGGGGACACATTCAGCAGCGGCCACTCCGGGCAGCTGGCAGGAAAAATGTGTGGCAGAAGCCCCAAGAATGGAAAGAGGAACTGTCTCAGGCGGGAGCATGCGCTCTGGCCAGAGTGCCTGTGTGTGTGGGGGGTCTCCTTAGGAAGTGAAGCAGGGGACTGCAGCTCCCATCAGTGCAGGTTTCTCCTTCCAGAAACCTGTGCCACAATGGCTCTTGCAGGCCGGGGTCCATGGAGGGCCTGGGTGGGGTACAAAAATGACATGGGGCACCGAGGGCAGAGAACAGGGCCTTCTCCACATGTGGACGCCCATGGAGCCGACTTCAGTACCCACACGCAGCCGGGGCACTCAAAGCTCTTCCAGTTTCTGTCGGATGGGGGCTGTGATAGGAACAGTGTTAGCTGATGGGGACCCCAAAAACCCGTTGAAGAGGTCCAGGGCTTGGCCGACGGCAGACCTCATCCCAAGCATCTGGAGCCCAGGGAGAGGCGGGTTGCTGGCCTGGACTTGCCATGCGCCTCAGTCTCCCCACTTGTGAAACGGGGCGCAGGACCCTGGCCGAGCAGATCAGTGGGTGTCCCACGAGCGCGGCGCCCCGGGAGGTTCCGCCGTCGGAGCGCGCACCGGGCGCCCCCTCCCTCGAGCCTGCGTGGCGGCCGCGCGCACGAGCGCAGGGGGCGGCGCGGCCCCGCGGCGGGGAGGGGCGGGGCGGGCGCGGGCGCGCGCAGGCGGCGGCGGAACCCGGCGGAGCAGCGTCGCCAACTCGTGTGGGACCCGCCGCTGGGCCGGCGCCCGCTGTCCGCGCCCGGTGCTCCCGCCGCAGTCGACCCGCCGCCCGCCGGTGAGTGGCCGGGGTCGGGCCGCGCGAGCCTGGGAGGGGGCGCGAGGCGTCTCCCCGCGGCTGGGGCGGGCGTTGGCGCGCGCCCGAACGCCGAGGGGCCGCGCGGGAGCGCGCAAGGCTGGGGAGCGGGTGGGAGCAGGGTGCGTTGGGCGGCGCGGCGGCGTGCGTGGGCTCGTGTCCGTCTGTCCCGGGTGTGTGTTGTGCGGCACGCGCGCGCCCCTCGGGGGTCTGGTAGCGTTTCCCCGGGAAACGGGCCTGGCCCGCGCTTATCCCGGCACCGCGTGTTTACAGTGGGCCAGGATGTGCGCTCAGAGCCTGGCGGAGTGTGGATCTCCGGGAGTCCGTGTGCCCACGTGTCTGAGTGTTCATAAGTGATCGCATGCACATGTGTGTGTGAGTGCAAAAGCGTGCATATGCGTTTATGAGTGTATCATTTGTATACAGGAATGAGTAAATGTGTTTATCTAGGCCGAGACCCTCTCACACACACTTTGTACCCACCATGCCAAATGGGTGTGATGGTGCCCCGCTCCTTTCCCGATGCCAGGGAAGCCATGAAGAACTGCAGGGCTGAGGGCGGCTGAGGGCTGAGGGGCGGTGGGTACACGTACTGATTTGGTGACTCCCAGATCCTGGCTGGGCCTGGTATGTGTGCAAAAGTTGGAGCCAGGCCTTGGCAGGACCCTCCTCGGCCACGCAGGCTGGGGGACATAGGGCTGAGGTGAGCACCTCATGGGGCACCAGGAGACTTCTGTTCACTTTTTCTAAACGCTCCCTGGATTGCTTGGCTTTGTTCTTGGCTCACTTTAGCCAGGTCAAATTTTGACCCTGCCCCCAGGTTGAAAGGGGAGGTGTCCTGGTCCTGAGGAACACAGGGGCCCTTAGACACTGTGTGTCTTGGCTTTCCTCTGCCCCTTAGCCCTGTACTGCTAAGTAGTTAATTCTGTCTGATTTATTTGTCCAGCGCCTGGCCTCCAAATATGAGCCCCAAACACAGTAACACATTGGTCATAGCAAGCCTGGAATCCGTTTGCTGAGAGCTGTCCTTACAGTTGTGACTGACAGGTTTTGTGTGTGTGCGTGAGCTTGCGCATGCATGTGTGTGCTTTATAAATGTTGACAGTCTTCACAGTCAGAAGTCTCAGTTGCTGTGAGATAAACTTTAGAAACTCAAGGCTACCCTGTCTCCCCTGAATTTCAAAAGTCAGCTTGCCTTTCGGAGGGAAAATGTCGTCGTAGGAGTTTCTTGTGCGTGCAGGAGAACTTTCAAGACGCGTTTAAAAACCATGTCGCTAATGGAAGAAGAATTTCATTGAAAGGGCGCAGAGCCTGTTTGGAGGCGTCTGCTCCCAATGTGGGGACTGAAGCTTGAACTTTGGATGTTGTCTTTCAGCAAACAAAACCTGGAAGGAAAATTCTTTTTCTTCACCACCACCCCCCCCCCACCAAAAAAAAAAAAAAAATAGCAAACCTACCTTCTGGATTTGCTGGAAATGCAGCCTCCCCTCCCCCATCAAGGCCAGGCCCTCCCTGGATCCCCCACCCCCAAATAAAATATGCCTGTGGGGAGCCTGGAATGAGTCACTCCCTGGCAGAGAGCCCCACAGCAAACATTTGGGAAGGTTCTTGCCTAACTTCCCAGAAGAAAAGGCCCAGGATTTAAAATGGTCCCTGTGGTTTGTCAGCCTCTGCTCTCCCGTCTGCTTCGGAAATGACTAAAAAATAGTTTCTATCTCCACGAGAATCAAGTGTCAGACCTAGGCAGTGGCCAGGTCGTCTGAAGTTAGAGCTGTTCAGCTTTCCAGAAATGGAGCTCCTGGCTCTACCAAAGGACGTTTCTGGTGGGAATGAGCAGGGCAGGAGGGAAAAGGGGAGGAGATGCATTTGTGGGGTGCCTCCTGTGTGCTGGGAACTGTTTTGGGGGGTCTCACTCCTCCCTGGAGTCCTTTGCTGCAGAAAGTAGCTTTTGGTTTTAAGTACCGCTGAAACCGAGGCACAGAGAGATCAAACCTGTGCCCTGGCAGAGGTGAGAGGGGAGTGGTGACAGAATCCTGGGTCACCTGTGTGACTTTGCAACCCTTCCCATTTCCATTACACCCAGGATGTGACAGATGGGCTGCTGGAGGCTTTCACACACATTCATTCAATTCTGTCAGATAGGGAATATTCTGTCCATTTTACAGATGAGAAAACTGAGTCTATTAACATAATTTTGTCAGAGTGACCCTGTGACCAGTGGGTCCCTATTTATTGAGGATATGCCCTGTGCCAGGCATGGTGCTCCTAGCTTGAAGTGATTTATCTCCCTCCATCCACTTACCAACACCATGAGATAGGAACTAACGATGCCTGGTTTACAGATGAGGAAACTGGGTACAGAAAGATTCCATTAGGTGACAGACGTCACGTGCTGGATTTCAACTCAGGTTTGTCCCAGCAAATCCATAGCCTTCCTACTGAACTTGGAAACTTGCTAAGTTAAGTAACTTGGGCAGGGTCATATCTGGGAAATGGCAAAGTCAGGATTTGAACCCACACCTGCAACTCTCAAGATTGAAGTGCTTGTGCTCTAACTTGTGCTCTTCTCGGGCGTGCTGCAAAGCCAGGTTCGTGCAGGCAGATAGGGCTCCAGTGTTCTGGCTTGGTCTTCCCACCTCTCATGTAGATGGCCAGTGTCCAAGGACCAGAGCTACCAGAGAGAAGGGGCTGTCATTTATATATTTTCTTTCCTTTCCAAGTGCCATGGATCGGTTTCATAAGGGAAGTGTCAAAACAATTGTCAAAAAGAGAATAATATTTCCTTCCTCTTCTCGAGTTGGACCAAGCCTGGGAGGAAGAGGGGGAGCCCTGGCGAATGACCCAAGATTAGACACAGGTTGGCACCCCCAAGCTTGTGTGGGATGAAACCGGATGCTGCCCCAGGAAGAGCCCAGTGTCCCAACTCCAGGGCGTGGTGAAGTGCTTGCACAGGGCCATACTCTGTTCTGAGTGTCTGGCAACACGATGGGTCCTGTAAAGGCTTCTTGTCACTTGTCATTTCAGTCCAGGGCCTGTGTCCTCATTCATTCCCATCTCAGTTTCTGCTGCCCTGTGCCTGAGATGCTATGTTTGGGAGAAGGACCTGCATGCCCCTGGCTGGGCTGTGCCCTGACCAAGTGCCCTTTGGTGTTGAAGGGGAAAGGTTTTTCTCTTCCTTCCAAGTCTTCCCTACAATATGGATGAACATTTGCAAATTGCTTCAAGATGCATTAATTTAAGGTGTGAAATAATAGATCTTCTGCAAAGGCTCAGCCACATTTCTGGCATTGATGGATTTCTCTCCCTTCTGGCCTGTGATTTGCAGAGGTAAAAATAGTCCTTTTTGCTACATTTTTATCTTTTTTGCTGACGTCATTGTTAGGAAGCTAAGCTCACAGGCCATGGAGGTTTCCCAGGCTGCCACTTGGAGACTTGGAGCTCTGGGGTGCTGTGGTGTGAGGGGTGGACCTGTCCAAAGGGGCTTTGAAGTGACAGGCGATGGACAGCCAGGTGTGATGACTGTGACAGGCCTCAGTGGATCTTTGGTATTTGGTTGTCTTCTCATTTCTGACTTCTGGGTAATGGCTAGGTAACTTTTTAGGAAAATTTTAGTCACAAAAGAAAAAAAACCCCATGCCAGCAGCATCACCCAGTCCCATGGGTGCTGGATGACATACACATAGCCCATCCTTGGACCAAACCTGCATTGAACCAACAGCCATCTCAGCTCCATGTCCAGACAGAGACGGCGTTGGGGCGGTCAGTCCGCTTGTCATTTCCTGTGACATTAACTCTGGGAACTGGCATTCTGCCTGTGATCCAGCGTTCTGGTATTGTTCCTCATAGCAGGGCTTGCTTATGAGAAAACAGACCCACATACACAGGCTGCACTTCGTCTCCAGTTCTGGATTTTTCCACAGACTTCTGTGTGGTGGGGTGGCAGAGACACTGGTCTCCTAGCCAGGCTTCTTGGCTTCCACCCAGCAGGGTCACCGCTCAAGCTACCGTCTAGGAGCTGGGTGCGAGGCGGGCGTTGGAATCGAAGGGGGGGCTGCCAGGCTCTAAAACGCATTCAATTCCATGGCCTCCATTCACACGGAGCTGTTCTTTCCTCCTCTCAGACATCTGCGCGATGGTGACCTCATAGAAGGGAAAAAAGGGGCTTTGTGTAGGAATTCCATAGAGTGTGAAGGAATTCTGACTGGGGAGGGGAGAGGAGGGGAGCTGCCTGCAGCCTGCCTTTCCCCCGAACTCTTTAACCCTCACACTTCGAAATGAGTCTGGCTCTGGAGGACAGAGACCCATTTAAGGACCTGTCCTCACCTTGTCTCTCACCTGTGTCAGGCTGCGGGGTTCATCCCTCAGACCCTCAAAGGCCCTTGCTGCGGAGGTGGAACCTGTTCACAGCCCCTTTTGCCAGCACCTGCCCCCTCTGTTGCTTGGGCTCAAATTCTTTGAAACTGGCGTTTCTGGGAAGAGGCCTGCAAAGAAGGCAGTTACTTTACCAGTGGCCTTCAGTTCTGATCAGTCCAAGCTGTGACCAGGAATCTGGTGGGTGCCCAAGCCTGAGAGGAGCACTGAGCTGGAAAGTGGGGGTACAGAAGACCACTGCCATGGCTGGCTGGGCATGGTGGCTCATGCCTGTAATCCTAGCCCTGGGAGCCTGAGGCAGAGGATTGCTGTGAGTTCAAGGCCAGCCTGGAATATATAGTGTCTCAAAAAAAGAAAGAAAGAAAAAAAAAAAAAAGACCATTGACATTTATGTGCTGTGGACTTTAGACGTACCATCTATTCCAGTCACCCATTTTATAGAGGGGAAACTGAGGCCCCAACACAGGGAGGTACTCATTGCATCAAACACGTGCGCCACACACAGCACCAGATGGAGTGAGGTTTGAGCCCCCCTCCCCCGACCTACCACTCATGAGCCAGTCCATCGCTGTGCCCAGCCTCATCTTCCCTGTCTAGAAAATGGACAATTT